AATGAAAGCTCTAATGGCTAGTAAATGTTTTTGTTGTTGTTATTTGCCATCAAGTCAACCACAAGTGAGACCACCAAGATCACTGGCTGCCCTGCTCAAGGTTTGCAAACTCTATCCATCTATAACAGGCATGGGCAAACTTTGGCCCTCCGGGTGTTTTGGACTTCAACTCCCACAATTCCTAACAGCCGGTAGGCTGTTAGGAATTGTGGGAGTTGAAGTGCACAACACCCGGAGGGCCAAAGTTTGCCCATGCCTGATCTATAATGCTATCTCCATCCTTTCCTACTACCTTTCTCATTAGCAAACATTATTTTGCCTTTTCCAAAATAATATTTTGCCTGCTTCTCTACTTGATGAGTCACGTTGCCTCATTATATATCCAAATCCAAAGTATTTTGGGCTTCAAGGCAGAATTCAGGCCTGATTTGCACACTTGGCACATCTGCTAGAACAAAAGGCCAGCTTTCTTTTGTCTTGTTTGCCAGTCTGTGGTATCTGTAGAAATCTATATGCTTATGAATGCAGCCGAGAATCGTATTGGCCTTTTTAGCTGCCGCATCACACTGTATGTTCCTCTTATGGTCTATTACAGGGGTGCCAAACTCATGTTCATGGTGGGCCACATCAGCCTGTGGTTGCCTTCAAAGGGCCACTGAATCCATGGATGGATAATAATACTATATTTATATTTTGCTCTATCTCCCCGGACGGACTCAGGGCGGATCCATAGAGACAGAAGACCAACTGTATGTGTGGGTGTTTGTGTGTGTATGTTTGTATATGTGTATATGTGTGTTTACATATGTTTGTGTGTATGGTTTTGTGCATGTGTTGTAATTTTTGTTTTTTGGCTTTATAAGTCTCTTCTGCTGTGTTTTTCAGTGTTTTTTATGAGTGATGGTCACTCGTTGGCCTGATAAATGTATTGTGTCCAAATTTGATGTCAATTCGTCCAGTGGTTTTTGAGTTATTTTAATCCCACCAACGAACATTACATTTTTATTTTTAATATATACGAGCTGTCCCCTGCCATGCGTTGCTGTGGCCCAGTCTGTGTATATGTGTTTTGTGTGTATATATGTGTGTGTATATTGGTGTGCATGTGTGTTTCTGTGTGTATATATATATATATATATATAGTTTTGCATATGCATTGTAAAACATTTTTAAAAGCTTTTTAAGTCCCTTCCGTGGTGTTTTTCAATGTTTTTATGAGTGATGATCACTCGTTGGCCTGATAGGCGTCTTGTGTCCCAATTTGGTGTCAATTCGTCCGGTGGTTTTTGAATTATGTTAATCCCACAAATGAACATTACATTTTTGTTTATATAGATGTGTGTGTGTGTGTGTGTGTGTGTGTGTGTGTGTAGAATAGTTGTTGGCTCTCTTTAGTTTTTAACCAGTTTGGGTCCCCAGATGTTATTGAACACCAACTATCATCACTTTTGGTTATCTGTCATGCAAACAGGGAGAATTGGAACTGCAACCCAACAACACTTGCGGCTCTGATGTCTTGTGTCTAAACTCAAACACCATTCTCTTGACTGGATAGAACAAATGGCAGCGTTTCAGATGTGACTGTATTCCAACTCCCATCAGCTCTAGTTATTGGCTTGCTGTGAATTTTCTGGACTGTATGGCCATGTTCAAGAGGCATTATCTTCTGATGTTTCGCCCACATCTATGGCAGGCATCCTCAGAGGTTATCCTTTGCTGAACATAGCATTTGTTGGATTTTCTTAGTGAGGTTGTGTGTGTGTTTTTTTAATCTACAGACACACTAAGAAAATCCAACTAAGAAAATCGAACACATGCTGCAAAGGTGAGAGGGATCCTCTCACCTTTGCAGGAGTCTACCATATATCATGCAACTGTGGACAAGTCTACATAGGAACCACCAAACGCGGCATTGCCCAAACACGAATCAAGGAACATGAAAGGCACTGCAGACTAATTCAGCCAGAGAAGTCAGCCATGGCAGAGCACCTGATGGACCAACCTGGACACAGCATTTTATTTGAGAACACAGAAATGCTGGACCACTCTCACAACCACCATGTCAGGCTGCACAGAGAAGCCACTGAAATCCACAAGCATGTGGACAATTTCAACAGAAAGGAAGAAACCATGAAAATGAACAAAATCTGGCTACCAGTATTTTAAAAAACCTCTAAAAATCAGGACAGTAAAGAAAGTGCAACACTCAAAAACTGGGCAATTCGGGTGGGCGTGTGGGTGGAGGGGTTTGTAAACAATTGGTCCCATGCTCCTTTAATTCTGAGCCATGTGAAGCCTCAGGGAAGACTTTGCTATCGAGACTTCCGGTTCTATTTTGGAGCGGCTGCTTCTCTACTTGATGAGTCAGCCCTCCTTTGACACGGCTCTGGGGTCCAGCGCTTAAGTAATACATTTCCTTGGCCATGAATGAGCGATGTCTTCTCTTGATTCATCCCTCACTCTTCATGATGACTCCTGCAAAAGAGTTTTCTCCCGTAAATGCTCAACTTGAGGACTTTCTCTACCTCCCTTTCCTCTTTGGACTGTGCCCAGAGGGTTGAGAGTTCCTTTAAGCATGATTTACTGTCTGTTCATTTGTTGTCCTCAAATTTGGGGATTCTTTCCTCAATGAAGAAGCCAGGATGGCCTTCTCCTTGCTTCTCCTTCTTCTCTCATTCTTGTACCGTTTTCTGCAACTGATTGGGATGGGCTTTTATGACTTTTTACAATTTGCATATTGTCCTTTAATGGGTTTTAATGTTTATTTTTTTAATGTCACGAATTGTTTAATTGTTTTTGCATAATTTTTAAATGTATATTTTTGATGTCTTTCTGGGGTTGGAAGACCCCCATGAAAGTGGAAAGATGGCAACTTTTGGGTTGGATAACCACCCTTCTAGAGCTGGATCTAAAGGTAAAGGTTTCTACTTCACATTAAGTCTAGTCATGTCCGATTCTGGGAGGTGGCACTCATCTCCATTTCTAAGACAAATAGCCGGCATTGTCCATAGACACCTCCAAGGTCACATGGGCTGCATGGAGCGCCGTTACATTCCCACCAAAGCGGTACCCATTGATCTACTCACATTTGCATGTTTTCGAACTGCAAGGTTGGCAGAAGCTGGGGCTAACAGCGGGAGCTCACCCCGCTCCCCAGATTCGGACCGCCAATCTTTCAATCAGCAAGTTCAGCAGTTGCACCACCAGGGCTGGATCTACACTGCACTATATTTCAGGATCTCATCCCAGATTATCTGCTTTGAACCGGATTATATGAGTCTAAACTGCTAAATAATCTGGTACAAGCAGGTAGTCTGGAATCAGATCCTGGGATATAGGACAGTTTAGAT